GAAGGGCGGGATAAAAATCTAATAAATAAATAAATAAATAAATAAATAAATAAATAAATAAATAAATAAATAAATAAATAAATAAATAAATAAATAAATAAATACATTTTAGCTGCAGCAAAAGGCCCCCCAGTCTTCTGAGGGTACTGACTACCCTCAGTCTTTTTTTGGGCTTATTTCAGGAGATTTCTCTTGATTTTTTTTAAAATCAAAGGTATGTGTTTGTATCCATGTGCACATATACATGGGCTTCTGGGTTCCATGGGCTTTTGCATCTGCTGATAAGCCCTATAGTGTGGGTATGGTGGGTTTTTTTGCTACATAAAAATTAGCAGTTGAAGAATCAGTGAAATTGTTGTATTTTAAATACTAGTCATATGTACTATTTTTATTTTAATGTAGGTTCCAAATGTGCCTAGTGCTGCAGTGGAGCAGCTTTTGAAATTAACACACAAACTTCGGGAGACAAATGATCCTACTGTGAGTTGAACTATTCTCATTTTAGTTGTGCTTGCTTGTTCTTTGCTGAGTTTCTTGTTTAATTAGAACCCCACCACTGTTGCAAACTGTGCTGAGTAGTGGAATATTGGGAAGCAATTTTGTTTCCACTCATTCTTAGAGACCACTTAGCCAATATTTGAGGCATGTTTTTAACATTAATTCCCTATGAAAGCATGCAGTGTCATAAATAGGTCATTTATTTTCATCCATCAGAACCGTTAAAAGTCTAGCCTGGCATAGTGAGTAGGCGGCACAATGTTTTCAGATTAAAAAGCCCTTTACTTAGATGTTTAGTAGAACTATCTTGCTGGAAAAGAAGACACAAAGTGGAATAATATTAAACAGAGAATGTATTAATTTTATTGACTCTGCTTTTGACTAATTTTATATCTGCGTTTAAGGCAAAATAATTGTATGATGATGGCAGCTTTAAAGGGCAAATTGTGTCTATATATTGTTCATTTTATGCCAAAATATGATGAAAAGCAGATATGGAGCTTCACATATATAGTTTTCTGCCTGAATTATTTACTGAAATATAATTATAGGTCGTGAGCCTGAAACATGGTGCTCTTTATAGATGTACCTTTCAAAAACTGCAAAATGTCCAGAGGCATCACAAGTGAGTCACAGTTCAGACCGAGGGGAGATTCATACAGATGAGTAGTGACAGGGCATCTGCAGAAAAAGATATAAATGGCTTACATGTGCTGTTAGTTGAAATGCATGCCTTAGGTATACAGTCGGTGGTGGCTCATACAGTGTAGGGAAGAGAACGTAGCTGCCTTCCCTACAGCAAGATTTCACATGTTTGTTTGCTCTTGTGTAAGTTGACAAAGATGGAGCATAAACTCAGTTGCTAAACTATTAAATAAATGAATAGGTAAACTACTATAGTTTCTAAATATAACTTATATCTTAAAGTTGGATGTCCCTGCCAGATGTTGCATTTGCTTAAGTTTGTCTTTGTTAGAAGCAGCAGGATGATGTTTGTATGTTTGTTTTTACATGTTGCAAACAAAAAGCCTTGTTTGCATCTGTACCTCTGGGGGAAATGAATGTTAATTTGGATCAGTTTGATGCTGCAAGTGCCTGTGTTGGTAGAGAGAACTGTTTCATGTGTTAAATTTCTAAAAATCACAATGACTAACTGGTAGAAATTTGCAATTTAGAATCTGAAGTGATAGCCAACCAAATAACAGATCTGATAACCAACCAAATAAGAGAATGGTAGTTCTTCTTAATCATCAAGAGGTTCCAAACATGTCTCTCTCTGCAAAACTATAAATTAAACTGATGTGTGAGAGACAAAGAGAGAATGTCCAGAGTGCATTTGCTGTCTCCTGGTGCCTGATTTTTAAAATCTGGTCTTGGTCAATGCTACACAGGATAATGGGACACTTATATGGCCAAATCTGGTTGTTCTGTGTTTTAATATGCTGGCTCCATGCAGGCAAAACCCTTCAGGGATTTTCACTGTGTTTGAAGGATCCAAAACAAGCAGTGAAAGCATACACTCCCTCTTTCCACATCCTCCACTTTTCCCATCTGTAGGTGAAATTTCTCTTAATGGCCATAACAGTGCTGGTATTATCCATCATGGACAGTGACATTTACTGCTGTTAATGCTAACCAAAATTTGCTAATTATTTGCAAACTTTGATTTCATGTTATAGGAGGGAATTCTGACTGATCACAGTTAATGTTGGTGGAAATGTAAAACTTTGCTGTTAAAGTTTGCACTCCATTTGCTCATGTGAACACTTTCCCCTCTTCTTTCACTTGCTTAGAAAAACTGAAATAGATTAATTTTACTTTGAACAGGCACAGTCACTGGCATCATCTTTGTCTACCCGGCAACTTTTGAGAATTTGCAGCCGATTGTCCCATTATCCAAACGAAAGTCTCTATCATACTATCAATAAAGCTTGTCTTTCCAGGTACTTTTTTTCTTTCTTTGGTGAACATTTTTTCATCTATTACTGGAAGCTTGTCATGTGTTTAACGATTTGAAAATTTTTCACAGAGAATGTCGCTTTTGATTTGTTAAATATATGCATAATTCTGTTCCTATTTTAGGATTACAAAAGAGCTACAACAACATTGCAGACATTATACAGAATAAGATTTTACCCTGTTTTATCGTAAATAGGACCTAACCTGAAAATAAGCCCTAGTACAATTTTTCAAGATGCTTATAATATAAGCCCTACCCCAAAAATAAGCCCCAGTTAAGTGAAACTCTGGCCTCCACCCTTGTACAGCAACCAGAAGAAGATGGCATGACTGTATTTGATGGAATGTAGATTTATTTGTACATGAAAAAATAAAACATCCCCTGAAAATAAGCCCCAATGCATTTTTGGAGCAAAAATTAATATAAGACCCTGTCTTATTTTTGGGGAAACACGGCAATTGTTACTGCAGTAAATTTGAACAGAGAGTCCACCAGAACTTTTTTTGCATTTCAGCAGATATGAAATACTTACTAACAAGTGGGCACACACAAACAAATGTTGCAGCATGTCCCCAGCTAGCTGAAGTGCTGTTCCTCAGGATTGCAGTTCCAGTCAGTTTTGAATAGGCAGTTTGAAGTGCTCTTTAGGTCCCTTATTAGAAGGGAAAATGGAATAGCACAACTTCTTCCCATGTCTCGGATAATTTCCCCTCAGAGTGCTATGTCATATAGAGAAGTTTTGCTTGGCCATTGTAGCCTCAAATAGCCATCTTACTTTTGTATTCTGGATGTTTGCGCTTGGATAGATGGGAATGAAAAGTAGCCCAAGAGAGTATACTATGGCATGACATTGTATTTAATTTCTACACTCAAGCAAAAGACACAAAAGATGCAAAATAAAACCCAATGAAATACGCAAACCGTATCACATATTAAACCGTATCACATTAAAAATATATCTTGAATATAACCTTTCAACTTTTCTTCTTTCACTAGGTTTTTACCAAATCTGGCAAAATCTGCTTTACATAAAAATCTGTTGGACTGTGGGATTGAAACAAACCTCACCAATACTGAGCAAATGGAAGGGAAAGACTATAGCTGTAAGCTATTGATATTCTTCCCCATTTGGTTAAATTAGGCTTCAAAATAAAGTTTAATTGGGCATGATGCAATGTTTGATATCCAACATCATCTGTCTTTCTTTGGTCTTAATTGTGACTCATTTCTGTGGTGCTTTGCCCAGTATGTTTATTCTCTCCTCAGCACTTTCCTCCTCTCCCTTGTCTTGATGCTCTTCCACCTCCGGTGCCTCTCTTGGTTACTTCTGCTCAAGACTTCTGTCTTCACCTTATGGTCTTAAGTTTGGCCACTCACTGCTCCATTTCTTTCATTTTTGCCCTTTCAACAGTGCTACCAATTTGCACTTGCTGCATGTGTACATGGTGCTGTTCTTTCGCATGAGGACAAATATTGCACACTCTTTGCTAGTCACTACCAGTGAAATGTCTCTTCCCTCAATCATCCCTGTTACCTTTTTATATCATTCTTTTGGGTACAAGTGTCCTTCCTTCTGTCCTGTCTGCCTCGAGGGATGCTGGGATGCCTTGAAGAATCCATGAACGCTCACATTAAAATGCAGCAGTCTTTAAACTGCCACAGTTGTTTATTTATTGAATTTTTATGTCACCTTTCTCCTGGCAGTGGGACTCAAGGCGGCTCTTGTTTTTTGTCTTGTCTTGATGTGGGTTTTTTTTTTTTGCAGGGAGATTGTTTGTCTGATATGTGCTTGCAAATAATGACTTTCTGTAGCTTCATTGGAAATTTGCCATTTATGAGTTGGTCTTTGCTGTATGTTGATTTAACTGGAAAAAGCAACAATCAAATTTTATTTAGTTAGTATTGCACTAATGCTAATATAAAACCAAAAGAGGTCATTTGCCAATTTGGCTTCTATATTAAGCTAAATAACTCAAGTGTTCATAATGATCAGCCTTGCCATATGTTGTATTACCCACATCCATGAGTGATGTACTAAACTCAATATTTGTATTGCATCTTATATAGCTTTGTACAGCAGTGAATAATCCTAAATGTATGTGAAATATTCAGGTGAAATTAACTCAGGAATCCTGCGAATTGGAGCAGTCACTATCCCAGTTCATAACCCATATGAGAAAATGAAAGTGCCTGATGTTCTCTTCTATGAAAATACCCAAGTAAGTACTGGTTTTGATCGACACTGGTAAATCTTCATAATAAACATTCCTTAAGTGAAAACAACAAGGAGTCTTTAAAACTAACACATTTTATTTGATATGAGCTTCCATGCACATAGTCCTTCAGAAACATGGAACACAGGTTTTTTATACACACTGGGTGTGGCTGTAGGGATGCAACAGAATGAAATGACATATGGCAAATGGCACTTGTGTTCTTATTACTGGCCATGAACTTTCGAAAGGCTGGGAGATATAAACATCCTAGCAATGGGATGATACACAAATCAGTCACCCTTCAAGATGTGTAAAGCAATAACTTCTGTTTATTAGAGTGCTGTTTCAGCTAAAGTCAGAAATGATCTTTGTCTCATGGGCTTTTAGAAAAATTACAGTATATATATACAATAAAAAAAACTTTCTGATAGAAATGAATAACATTGTAACCTACAGTTCTCAAGTAAAAGTACTCAGATTTATTGCCAACACTCGACAGCCCATTCTGGACAATAACACCTCCTTTCTTGCCCAGCCTTAAGAGATTACTTACCAACAACAACAAGAGTTGTAAGAGGAATCAGACTCTGTTGCTGATCCAGCGGCTTCCTTTGTCCCCATATCTACAAAGAAAACACAATTAAAAAATCTAATGGTGTAATCTACAAAATCAGGGATTTGTACACAGACTTATCTTCTGGTATGATACATACCATCTTTTACCATCAATTTCTGAAAGCATTTTAGATGGGGCAAATGGGCAATGCGTTATAAGAAGAATAAATGGATATAACACTGGCATTAGAAACTGTAGCACTCAGAAACAATTGGGAGGATATTCCAGTCCCTAGTCCTTGACCTCATGGTGACCCTTATAAAACAAAAGAACTGGGGAGACAGATCTGCAGGTCTATGATGATGATTCAAAAATTCAAGACAGCTTTTGACTGGTATTAAATAACAGATAACACGTTTTTACTAAAAACCTCATTATCAGTTAAATATTACCATAATATGTATGCTGTTCCTAATATTGCTTTTTTTTTTTTTTGCAGCTCTAATGGCATTATTTCAGATATCTGTTGTTGTTTATAATGATTTATAAAATTCCGTAGGTTTGTTCCCAATGGCCTGGGGATTACTATGGGGACCACTGAAATGTATTTCATCCACAAGTGAATTATTTCTATTGCCAGGTCTTTGTATTTTGTAATTTTTTCCAAATCTTTATCTTAAAGATATTCCCAGGAATTGCAACATCAATCATCCAGAAAGTTCTTCATTCTATTTCTGTTATGTCTGGTGTATTATGCTCAAGGTGTCTGTCAGTTTGAATATGAAAGTCCCACAAGATTTAAACTTGGTTGTTTTCTGACAGCTCCTCTCCCTGATAATCCCATGGATTCTTGGATGGTGGCAGATTACATAGATATCTTACATAATGAATAGTGTATTAATTTTGAAACTGTCATGTCTAGCTTTGTAGTCTTATTCTTATTCTTAATTATTACATGAGGAGATTTTGATCTCTATGGCTTAAATAAATACAGGGCTTTTAAACATTTCACTATATATATTAGGCTCTCCATGCATGTTTTTCTGTATACCTTTTGTGTATACCATAACAATTTTTCTGACAGAATTATGAGACAAAGGAGGTAAGCCTTGCTTTCAACTGAAACAGACATTCTGGTAAAGAGAAATCATTCCTGTAGTACCTTCAAGGATAACTGACTCTTGTTACTGATCTCAGCTTACCAGAATATTTATATTCATCATATGAAAATATGAAGGATATAATTGACATTTTCTGTATCTTATTTAACTCTGTCCCATCCCCATAGCCATAACTAGTACACATACATATAAACTGGTAGCTTCGATATTTTGGCCAATGTGCCTGAAGAAGTGGCTTAGGTCTGCCAAAGATCATGACAGATCAAATTGGTTAGTCTTAAAAGTACCACAAATTCACTGCTGGCTTGGCTGCAGCAGACTAACATGACTGTTTCCTTGATGAAGAAAAAATCCTTAAGTGCTTAATTAAAATTGGAACTGCAATGTTTCAATGTAAAAATCTGTGGAATAGTTTCAGAAGATTTGGAGCCTCAACATCTTCACCAGCATTTTGTCTCCCCACTGCTAGCCTTCCCTGCCAGTCCTTAGTCCCTTTCCCCTTCATAAGCTTTTTTTCAAAATCCAGTTGGTTAATCCTTTAAGAATATGCAATGACATGTTTGTTTATCACAGTGCTGTAAAGTAGTTTTTTTTTAATTCCAGAGGGGTTTAGAAACTCAGTTCAGTTTTGATAATGTTTCTACATTTACATCAACATTGAAAGGAAAAGGCTGCTAGTTAGCAATGTTTTCTTCTTTTGTATACTCTCTGGCCTACTTAAAATGACCTATTTTTGCTTGTCAAGATTGGCGTAATCTGTTGTTTTTGAAAAGAAAATGCATTTTTGAAGGGAGAGATGAAAGGAGCTAGCATGATGTTGTATCTTTAGACACAAATTGCACTGTGTCGTTCTATAGAAATAAATTAAGGTTGACAGATATATACATTTGATATGAAGAAGTGCAAGTAGATGGAGAGAACATGAGAAAGTGCATGCTAAAAATCATTTTCTTTTTTTCCCTTTTTGTAATAGTTGAGGGAGTGTTCCAAATTTTCTTCTTTGTGGTCTCCGTAAATCATACAATTGGGTTAGATCTGCACCTGCGCAGAGGTCCTTGGAACTTTCTAGAGGTTTAATCATGTGTTTGCCAGAACAATTCCCCTCGGTGCTTGTTCTTTGCCCACCTCTCAGAGAGTCTCTGAGTTCCTTTTTGCCGCTGCTGAGGTCACATCTTTCGACTGAGGTCATTGCCAGCCTTACCTTTGCACACTTAAGTCCCAGATTTCAGAGACAATCATTGCCCGCACAATATTGTGACTCAGGTTCATCATTACACAAGGCTTTGTCTCCTCGAAAGTGGAGTACTAAGATACACCATACCTCCACTCGGCTCCATCACTCCTACGACATGGAGTACCCCCAGGCACCACCTGCTGCCCAACATTGGCCTTACTCTTCTTGACCATTGGAACCAGCATAGAGTACCATCAGCATCGACACCATCGTTCTCAATGCCTAACTTTGTATGAGCCTCCTGCATACTACCAGCCTGTACTTTCTCAGCATTATTTGGAACCAAGGAGAATAGAATATGCTTACTATTATCCCTGAGACTCATCCTCAGTATCACTATCTCCACCTGGACATTGTCATCAACCGAAGGAACTTGATGAGCTTGATGTTGGTAGCTTCGGTGACACCGTCCAACCATCTCATCCTCTGTCGTTCCCTGCTCCTCTTGCCTTCACACTTTCCCAACATCAGGGTCTTTTCCAGGGAGTCTTCTCTTCTCAGGGGATGGCCAAAATATTGGAGCCTCAGCTTCAGGATCTGTCCTTCCAGTGAGCACTCAGGGTTGATTTCCTTCAGAATGGATAGGTTTGTTCTCTTTGCCATCTAGGGGACTTCCAAGAGTCTCCTCCAGCACCACAATTCAAAAACATCAATTCTTCAGCGGTCAGCCTTCTTCATGGTCCAGCTCTCACTTCCATACATCACTGTTGGAAAAACCATAGCTTTGACTATGTGGACTTTTGTCGCGCTTCAGACCATTTTTTGCTCTTTCTTCTTTCACCCTCATTAACAGGTTCTTTAGCGATGACAAATCTTGACAGCATCTTAAAAAGCAGAGACATCACCTTGCCAACAAAAGTCTGAATAGTCAAAGCTATGGTTTTTCCTGTCGTGATGTATGGAAGTGAGAGCTGGACCATGAAGAAGGCTGACCGCTGAAGAATTGATGTTTTTGAATTGTGGTGCTGGAGGAGACTCTTGAGAGTCCCCTGGACTGCGAGAACAACCCTATCAATTCTGCAGGAAATCAACCCTGAGTGCTCACTGGAAGGGAAGATCCTGAAGCTGAGGCTCCAGTACTTTGGCCATCTCATGAGAAGAGAAGACTCCTTGGAAAAAACCTTGATGTTAGGAAAGTGTGACGGCAAGAGGAGAAGGGGACGACCGAGGATGAGATGGCTGGACAATGTCTGCGAAGAAGCCAACATGAATTTGACCCAACTCCAGGAGGCAGTGGAAGACAGTAGGGCCTGGCGTGCTCTGGTCCATGGGGTCACGAAGAGCCGGACACGACTAAACGACAAAAAGGTTCTTTAATTTCTCCTCACTTTCTGCCATCATCCCAGAGAGTAGGAAACCTCTATAAAACAAGAATGTGGATACCACCTTTCTGTCCAAGGACTCCCTACCTAATTTAATCATTGTGGAAGTTATACAGTCTAGATCTAGGAATTGATTTAACATTGCCCGCACTGAACATGATGGAAGGAAATTTAATATCATTGGCTGCAGTATCTACTATCTCTGTTCCTTTATACTTACAGTGGCCAACTGCCAAGTAGCAATAAAGCCCTGCCAATTTTCCAGGCCTCTCAAGATGGCAACCATGCCCTTGGCCTCAGGTTACATCAAGAGGCCACAACCCTGGCATGTCAAGGGAGGATAGCTGCACATTTAGTCCCCGATGTAGCAGCCAAACATATGGCCACCTCTGTCGCCTTATGCAGACATGCCTGGCTACAGTCTGCTGGCTTGACAGAAAATTCCCATTCTTTCATTGAGGCCTTACCTTTTGATGATTCCGGCCTCTTCAGTTAGAAGATGGAAGATACCATGGAGAAACCTGCATAAGATCTGTAAAACAGCAAGGTCATATTCCACCCAACAGGACTGCAGACAGCCTTACAACCAGTGGTGCTGCCCATTTGCTCCCCCCCCCCAGCAATATTACCAATAGTACAAACCTCCAGCGGACAAAGACATTCAGCTCCTTCTCCTTCCTCCTTTGGCCGCCATCTCAAAAACAACACTTTCATCAGTCCACTAGGAGACCTGAGAAGAAAACAAAACAGCGTGTTTGACTCCTTCTTCCACCAGGTCTGCCCAGGCCTGCTATTAATATACATTGATGTCCTGCTTATGAAATTCCCACTGACATCTGATGCGCCACTATCTGAAAAGAGTGCTGGACTAGGAAGGCCTTTGGTCTGATTTTTTGTTCTTATGTGCCTCTCCTTCTTAAAGAGTGTGATCTAATGTTGCTGGTGTAAGTATTTTCTATTGCTCTGATTGGCAAAAATAAAGAGAGTTTGAGCTTTCTTCCTTTGACACTTAAAGAAGAATTTGAGATTCTTGTATAGAAGCCAGTCTACATGAGCTTAAGAAATCTGCTTTGTCATGCACTGGAAGCCGTGCTTATGGCATCACAGTGGCTGGTTGCCAAGACTGTAAGGCAAATTGCCCCCAAATGCTGCCATTAAACTCTTTTGTTGTGCTTATCATTCTTATTAGGGTTGTCAAATTAGCTTATCTGCACTGTTAGCTAGCTCACTTTTATTTGTTATAGTGGCATTTCAGTTTGCTAACAGAATAATTTATGTTCGAGTACTGCTTATTCCTTTTTATGCTTCTGCGTTGGAATTGTCTCTGTTCATTAAGTTCAGCAAGCATTTGCTTCTGGTGTCCCATTCAGGCATTATAGCCTGAAACCATGTAGTCTGTAGAGGGAACATTGGATTCATAGTACAATTTGATTGGTGCACTTCAAACACTCACAAATCCTGGGAAATACATTTCTCGATACCGGGAAAAAAATAATGTTTGAAAAGTCTTCTCCACATCCATCTGTAAATTTGCCCATTGCTTGGGTCAAGCCAGTATATGTATACCCCCATATTGTCCTGTTTGGGGGTGGGGGGCAACTAGTTGGCCACAGTTGGAAACACTGATGGTGCTGCCTTATGCTTAAAGAAGAGTTGTTTCATATCCAACAATTTGGCTTGCAGATAGCAACTTATTCATGATCTCCTACTTAACAACCAGGATCTAGCTAATATCTGTGTCACTATACCCTATGTAAGGGCTAGCAACTGGTTATCTTCCATATAGCAGCTTGTTGGATTGAACTCATATTACTGAGGTAGAGGGAGCAATGGCCATGGTCTAGTGGCAGATCTGAAGTTCTTCTCAAATAGGTTGCTATATCAATAAAGGAAAAAATATTACTTATTGGAATGGGTGTTGTTAATTGTGGATCAAGTGGGACAATGGAGATGTCTGCATGTTTTCTGGTAGCTGTAAAATAAATAGTTCAGCGTACTTTTGTAATTATTAGCCTCTTTTCTTTTTATCTTCTACTAAATAGCTCTCATTGCTCCCTAGCATATGATGGTGATGGAAGATATGCTAAAAGACTTCTTGCTTGGAGAGCACCTTCTCCTCGTCGGCAACCAGGTGAGGGTTTTGAAGCTTTTCATGCTAGAGTATGTATGTATTTATTTGTTTGCTTATTTATTTCAATCTCAATCTGCGGCAACATGTGGCTTGGATATGTTGATTTGTTTGCATAACCCCCAGCTCTACTGTTATCATGTATGTATTTTATCTTTTTTGTTTTGTTTTATTTTGAATAATCTTGTGGTTAAACCGCTGTACTGCAGCCAAAATTGTACTCACGACCTGGGGTTCAAATCCCAGGTAGCCGGCTCAAGGTTGACTCAGCCTTCTATCCTTCCAAGGTCGGTAAAATGAGTACCCAGCTTGCTGCGGGGGCAATGTGTAGCCTGCATAATTAACTTGTAAACCGCCCAGAGAGTGCATGAAGCACTATGGGGTGGTATATAAGCAGCACGCTTTGCTTTTGCTTTGCTTCTGTTATTTAATATAAACCTGCATCCAACGACATAAAATTATTATGAATATTAATTATAATCATAAAAGTTGTTTTGGAAAATGGAGTAGAATAAAATAAATCATCTATTGTCTCCATAAGGGCCAAGAATGGATAAAAACAATACCACACTAGCTGGTTTGAACAGCTCAATAGTAGAAATGGTAGACAGAGGAGCATTGTTCTTGGTAATTGTGATTCACATGCTATGGCAGTGGACTTGCTTTCTCTGTTCCGTGCAAGAACTATATAGTGTTCAAAGAAGTGTTGTAAGAGGGAGCCATGCCTAATTGCAGCTCTCCTGTACATTTCCTGGACTGGAAGTGCAGATCTTTGGTTCTGCAGTTGAAAAATTAACACTATGTGGGATGTCTGAAGGTATGAATAAACATGTTTCTATTTTCAGTAATTATTTATTGAATAAAGTTCGTTTGAAATTGTACCATGGCCTAGAACAGAACACAAAGGGCAGCTCCATCGTGCTATACATAATGACTCCATAATGAAAAGGAACCGGCAATGTCTTCTAGTAGAGGAAGCATCTAGAACTGTTTTCATTCTTGATAAATTGTTGGAAGCAAATTGTGCCTAGATCCAAATTCACACAAGTTTTATACATAGTCTAATTTAGTTATGTCAGCCTGCTTGCATTCTGTTTTCTCAAGGGGGAAAGAAAAAATTACAGTGATTTCTGTGATAGCATATTCTGTTTTGAATTAATTTAGCCTATTATTCCTGTTGACTGCATTTTGCTTGAGGTAATGGTTTTGGCTGAAGTTGCCTACAGGCTTATTTCCCAATGCAAGGGACAAGGAATCTAGTACAGAGTAGCAAATGATGTTGGATGTAGCCATCTGCCTCATAGTGCATTTCTGTTGATTGTGCAAATTTAAACATATTTGTATAGCAGAAAGTCTCACTGAACTTGTGTGACTTCTGAAGACACGTGAAATATCAGGCCACTAGTCTTTTTAGTTGGGCTGCTGACACTGAGCAATCGGCCTCTTAATGGCTTTCAGCTCTACAGCTGCTATAGCATATGGCCTTAGATGCCGGATCATATTTGTTTGGTTTGGTTTTTTTCCATTTGATTTACTAATTCCCTACCAAGAGAATGACTAACTGAGAGTTAGATATTTGTTAGAATTGAAGAATACTGGCTTATATTTCATGTAAGAAAATACATCTGTTAGAATTTATAGATCTTGTTTTTATTGAAATATGTTCTGAGCTGATTTCCAGCGTTGGATGAACACATTTTCTAAAAATTGGATTTATTTTAGCTATTTGAAATCTTTTGCCCCATTTTTATTTTATAAATCAGTTGAAAGCAGGTGATAAACAAGATACAAAAAACAAAAAGCCCTGAATAATTGTATTTAATGTAGTACTATATGATATAATAAAATTAAGGCCAGGTAAATAAAGTGCTGAACCAAATTAGAAATAAAGTAGACTAAAAAGGCCTAGCAGCACCTATGAAAAAGGAGTTGGGTATCATCTACATATTTATGACATCCCCCTTGAAGCCCCTGATTGACCTTTCCCCTGCATTTTCTTGTAGATGGGGAAAAGCATGCGTACATACAGTTGTAGTGAATTTCAGGGAACTAGCAGCATCCTAAAATACATTATGCCTGCATAATGTAATACATTATGTCTGCATAATGTATTGTTTTAATGTATTTATTTAGAAACCAAAGTAGAAAAATAATAAACTTCAGAGACAGACAGAGTTGGGTAATAACCATGTTAAGTGAAACTGGTGCTTCCCACTGAAGACATAACCTGCCCAGTGACTAGTGAGTGGATCAGAGTCTTGGGCAAGTCAAATTGTGTGTGCCCTCTGTACTCACATATTGGGCAAAATCGAGCTCACAAAGTTTTTGTTACGAGTGAGTGGATCAGAGTCTTGGGCAAGTCAGATTGCGTGTGCCCTCTGTAAAATCGAGCTCACAAAGTTTTTGTTACATGCCTTCAAGTCAGAACCAACTTACAGCAACCCTAATAGGGCTCTCAAGGTAGGTGAGATATTAAATGAGTGGTTTTACCAATTCCCAGTGAGTTTCCATGGCTAAGCAGAGATTTGAACTCAGGCCTCCTGAATCCTAGTCTGACACACTGTCCACTGTACCACACTGGGTATCCATCGTAAGGTTACACCAGTATAAGTGTGCTGGTTATCACACACAGCAATACGGAATTGCACTATTCAATTTCACAGTTGATCATGTGTCCCCAGGATGATCAATTACGCAGTGTGCCGGAGGAACTGCTTCATGGGTAGCACTTCCAACTTCGCAGTATTGTAACTAACTGCAGGCACAACCTCAAGTTCCACATGTAAAAAATTGAATATATATATAAAAATCCCAGGAGTGGTGGGGGAGCCCGGTATATTGTGAGGTAGGCTTGTATTTCAGTTTTTTTATTAGGTTTTGCTTACAGTATTTTGGAAAATAAGAAAAAAATATTAAATCAAAAAACCAACCTCAAGTTGCACAGGCATGTTTATGCAATAGGATTTTGCCTGCTGAATAAGTGGGAGCTAAAATTCTACAAATGTGTATCTCCAATTTGCACCTCTTTGTTGTTGTTGTTTAGTCATTTAGTCATGTCCAGCTCTTCGTGACCCCATGGACCAGAGCACGCCAGGCCCTCCTGTCTTCCACTGCCTCCTGGAGTTGGGTCAAATTCATGTGGGTAGCTTCGATGACACTGTCCAACCATCTCATCCTCTGTCGCCCCCTTCTCCTCTTGCCCTCACACTTCCCCAACATCAGGGTCTTTTCCAGGGAGTCTTCTCTTCTCATGAGATGGCCAAAGTATTGGAGCCTCAGCTTCAGGATCTGTCCTTCAGTGAGCACTCAGGGTGGATTTCCTTTAGAATGCATAGGTTTGTTGCAGTCCAGGGGACTCTCAAGAGTCTCCTCCAGCAGCACAATTCAAAAGCATCAATTCTTCGGCGGTCTGCTTTCTTTATGGTCCAGCTCTCGCTT